CGTCATTTTGTAGAGCGTTTTTTACTGCATCTTTTCTTCATAGAGACAAATTTACAACCACTTGTTTCACTATAGAAAAATTTATTATTCAAATCGAGTCAGGACTTCTGGCCCACCCTTTAAGGTAGAAGATCATACTCAAGGTTATTGTGCAAGCATATTTAAGGCTATGGTGCAAGAATATGCCAGGCTATGGTGCGAGAATATTCAAGGTTATTGCGTAGAGCATGGTCATCATTGGTGGGAAGGCTCATGTTTTATGTTTTTACCTGAAGAAATCGGTGTTTCCCCACAAGAACTTCATGGTTTTTCCTGAAGAACATATGTGAGCTTTGATTGTTTATTGCAATATAATTGACGTTGTTGAGTGAATAACAGTTGGAAAAACTGTAGGGAAAAAATGTTTCCCTGTTTCACTGTTTCCCCCTAGTCAATAATTCAAAATCAGTCTATTTTGGAATGTGTTCAACTTCTGAAGGCAATTATTTTAAGCGGAAAGAAATAATCAGTTTCTAAATCAAGCGAAGAAAATAAAGTGAATCTTTGCCAGAATGAAATCCCTTTTTTATTTCTTAACTTAACCTTTAAAATCGACAACATATTATATGACTAAACTCATGTTGTGTTGTTTGTTCTGTAGGATGAATGTTTTTTCTTTCGTTCTATACTGCAAGATTTACGTTGTGTTTTTTCTACTTGGAAAAACTCAACTTGGAATCTTTTATTGATTCTCTATTTAACATTTGAATAAAGCAGAGAAAAGAAAAAAACATTCTGGAAACTTTAATAATAACATGGGACAATATTTCTTATGTTGGCTTCTTCCACTGTCGGATTCACCGACAAATTTTGCACCTGGTGCCCAATTTTTATCTAATTTGGTTCAGCGCCGAGCAAGCACCAAATTTTCTAATGAGTACAATAAAAGGACGCAGTATCGTTAAGTATAAAAGGGAGAAAGTGTATAATCTATTTCATTGAAAAAAAAAGATGAGTAGAATCATATAATCTGTTATAAATCGTGAGATTTTCGAGAAACTAGAATTTTGTCGAGACAATCATCGGTATTCTGCATATTTAAGAAATTAAAGTTTCAAATCTGTTTAAAATTATTACTCTGGGAAAATTCAGAACTTTTATATAGAAACAAAAGTGAGATCTATTTAAATACGTTTTTTTATATTGTCTATTGTATCCTATTTGCATGTAAGATCTTCCGAAATAAAATGAGGAAACTCTCACATAATATACGGTAACAATTCGTTGAACGTGCTAGATGAAGATCAATATTTAGAATTTAATTATCCGTATGAAAAATTAAAATGTTTATTTTTTTCAGAACGACATCGAAAACATCTATTACACAAAGCGATACTCGCAGGATGGCATCACAGACACCTAAAAATCAACAAAATGCTAGCAATGATAAATTAAATAAATATAGAGATATTTTCGCTGATATAGGTTATAATTACCATATCACGAAGAATATAATTAAATTTTGGTCGGATGGATTTGCAGTACGTCAAGCTTTACATGAAAGTTTGACAAAAGTATTAAATGAAATTCAACAAAATAGTTGTGAATCTAACTTACGTTGGCAAAAACATCAAAAACTTCAAGAAGAAATTAAAGTAAATTGTACAAGATATTTAACTCATTTTCAATCAGAGTATGCACCAGATTGTCATCAAGAATTTCAACAACTTTCAGATCAATGTTTCGGTGACAATTCAAATGAAGTTGATCAAACAAAAATAAATCAGTTGATAAAAAAAATGGATACTGAAATGATAAAAAAATTTGAAGATTCATTATCACATCAAGTGTGGGGTGCGACATTTTCATTAATAGCAATGTGCATAATGGTGCAAAAAACATCTGGTGAAATCAAGAATAGTAAAACATATCGTGAGTCAGACAAATTACGATCATCAATCCAGAAAGTTGAAGATGGTATCGAAGAATCAGAATCATATTTAAAACCTTATGAAGTACCGATTAATAGATTAAGTGACTTAATTCGCACACAAGAGTCTTATTCTGCATTAAGAGATTTAAAATATGGCAAACAGGCAATTGATTTTGCAAAACGAGAGTTATATATGATTTTATCAGAAATCGATGCCCATTCAGAATCAATTCAACAACGTAAAGATATTAATGTGCATAGGATTATAAACAATACAATAAAATTAATTGGAAATGGTGTTCTATATATGCAAACACCAAGAGCTTTATTAACATCAGCAGCTCTTGCGTCATATGGTGCCATAACTGGCATTGAGGTAACATCGATAGCTGGTCATGCATTCGGTGTATACTGGTCACAAGAAGAATTAACTAAATTAAGTGAATTAAAACAAGATATGAATGAATTACAAGATTGTGTCAATGATATATTTTTAACAATATCATTGATCGAACAGAAATTGACAATTATCGATTAATTATTATTTTCTTTATGTATGACTTATTTTAAACGATATACTATGAATCTACTAAAATTAAATTTTATTTTTTTTATTTTTGCCTCTAAAACGTATTCTTTATTCATGTTTTGTGTTGATTATTTTTTCTTTAATCAGGAATAATAAAGACATTTGATTGATTGTGGAAGAAAATAATTGAACAATCATTCTAAACAGTCATAAAGTATCATTTAAATATCTTTTTCAGACATCAATATTTCTTCTCTAAGATCTTAGATTGACAAATATAGATTCTTTTAAATAGATGCTTTACTGACAAGTCTATAGACGTGATCGGTATGCCAGTTACAATCGTTTCTAATAAGTTCTTGTGGAGAAACACCGATTTCTTCAGGAAAAAAAATTCAAAAAATTTTAAAGTTTTAATTTTTAATGTCAAATGTTTAATGATATCTCATATTCCTTTGCTCATAAACACACTGATCAATCGACGTTTTTCGAAGAAGTTTTCTCAGCAATATTTTATCTCTAGTAAAAGCTTCTAAAGTTCGCTGATTTGTTATTTTAAAAAAAGATCGCTCCTACTCAATCACCGCTCTCATTCATACGTACATATAACCATCTTCACGACTTAGCAGTGGTGCAAAAGGGAAATTTATGACTGCTATTAAGTTTTGTGCATTTGCTGTGTCACTGGTGATGAGTGAAGCTAACAAGAGTAAAATTTGCCGGGTATCAAAAACTGCCATTATGAGTATGAGTTTGCCAGGAGAAGAAAGTAGATTTTACGCACACAAAATCTAATATCTTGGACGAAAAAAGCTGAGTTTTTTTATAAATGAGCGACGGACAGGGCAAGACAGGAAAGGAGGAGCTGTGTCTGGACACAGAAAAGACGGAAAAATCGTCTTCGTTCATCTCTAATCGCAAACCGCGAAAATTTGCTGTGAAGCAAACATGACATTTTTCTTCAAGTTTTAGAGGGAGAAAAATTGACCTCAACAGAAACCCACTTCAGAACTTTTTCTTTGCGTGACGCCTTGGAAGCCCATTGGGCTTCTATAGTGAGGGGGGTTTACATTATATTTTCTAGTTTTATTATAACATTTTAGATACAACTTTGGCATAACGGCTAAAATACTTCTGATTCCGCAATAGCAAGCCCTTGTCAGGATTCACACCATGGGTTGCAGGATACAAATACATTTATCGACGCATTGTGTCTTTCTCTTTTTAAATTGAGGGGAGATCAAGAGAACAAGCGAACAAGAGTTCATGCATGCATTGGACTTCTCTTATTATAATGAGTGGAGATCAGGGGAACAAGCGAACAAAGGTGGATGTATTTATCTATTTCTCTTATGTAAATGAGCGGAGATCAAGGGAAGAAGCGAACAAGAGTTTATGTACACATTGTATTTTCTAGTTGTTGAAGTTAGTTCTAAAAATTCAGCCTAGGTCAGGAAAACAAGTCAACAAGTCGAATTCGTTTTGTATTGTTTTTCTAGTCCAAAGGGGTCATAAATATTTTGTTAAACGTTGGGTCAAAACTGTTCAAAAAATTATGAAGCATTTATCATTGATTCATGTCTGCGAAATGTCGCAGACCTGTCTGATACAATATGACGCGTTCGGCATATGTCAAACAGGAATGTATGAATGATTAAGCTGGGGGTGGGGGTCGAGAGTTGTGAGAGTGAGTCACCCGATAACATTTCCATCACTGGGAGATTGTTTATGTGTGCGGCAGACTATCGTCCGACTTTGAATTGCGTGATGGTGATGCAGTCTTTATAACATTATTGAGATAAAAGTTCAGCGATTTTACTTGTCATTTAACAATAAAGTTATGACTACCTTGCTCTAGGCGTAAAAATTGGACCGCGA